CAGGGTCAGATTTTTTTTTTTTTTCAAATGTGCATAGTTTTTTTGTGTAACACTTACCACTACATTGACTGAACTGGAAAAATAAATAAATAAATTCTCCAGTCGCTGTCCCAGAGAAAAGTAAGTGGGTTGTGACAAGGGAGTTCCACAAAAGAATGACAAAATCCTGCCCCAGAGGTCATAGGGCAGTAACCAAAGCCACTATGTGACTTCAGGATTCATTAGCCTTTGCAGTGGCAAAGTGACCCCTTCTTGCATGCAGAGAAAGGCTTTAGCCAATGAAGCCACGTCATTGCAGAGGTTCTGGTCATGCCTCTGTCACACTCTGAAACTCACCATCCTCTGCACACAACAGCTCCTGAAACCAACCCCACACACAGATCTGCAGATACAGAAAGTGTGGGCCCCCTTTCCCATGCTCTCCAAATCCTGCTTTCTCCCACACAGCAGAAACCTTCCAATGCCACTGCCAGCTGACTATTACTTGGCTGCAGAAGTGGAGAGGATCAGTGGTCTTGAGGTTCAAGCACTGAACCAGGATTCATGAGTTCTGGGTGATGTTCCCCCTCTGCCACATGCTATCTATATGACCTTGGGAATGTCACATGAACTTTGTGTCCCTCTGTCCCCTCATCTAAAAAGTGGAGATATGAATACTTCCCTTTCTCCCACCTTCTGTCTGTCAAGAACTTCATTGACTTCAAGGCTCTGCCCATGAGGAAGTCACCGTATGATCAAGGCCTTAGACTCTAAGCTCTTGGAGCAGGGACATTTTTCACCATGCTTATGTAAAATCCCTAGCCTACAGGGTCCCAGATCTCAGTGGGTGACTCTAAGTCCTACTGTAATATACAAATAATTGGAGGATGGACATTTCCCTAATTTTGTGCAAGACAATACGTACAGCCAGAAGATTCTTCATCACTATAACTAAGGCAGTGTACGCGATCAAATAGTCCCACAATCTGAGAATATTCTTGACCGGCTTTAGAAGGAGGCTGCTTCCAAAGAGCATAAAGTAGAAACAGGCCATCAGATAGCCCAGACAGAAGATGTTGATTCGAGTTGTCCCAGTGATAAAAATCAGGCAGAGCACAAACCAGAAGTGATAGCTGAATACAACCACTTTAGCCATATCCAGATAGGACCTGTGGGAGGAAAAATGAAGTATCAGGGTGACTCTTTATGTCAGCCAGCTGGTGGCCATGCACTTAAATATTGAACTCAACAGTGCCCCTTGATTTATGGCAGCACAACATTGTGTCTAAACATTACACACCAGCTCAGTCCAGACTAGATTAGCGAACTTTGTGTTTCCTAGGTAGAAGTTCCACCAGGTGATTCATAAATATGTTGCTGGCTCAAACAAAGAAGAGAAAAGATGCTACGTGCAAAAATTTTCCATACGGTATGAACTTTGCATAGACCAGGGGTGGGGAACCATTTTTGGGGAGCCACTGACCACACGTGAAAAGCAAAAAAAAAAAAAAAACCCCACCAAAAACAAAACCCTGACTTCATCACTGAGGTGGCCCCCAACTGAGAAGGAGAAAGACATTCCCCACATTCCCCTTGCCTCAGCCTAGTAGATTTTCTGTGCTCCTGCCCCGTGGGAAGATGATGGGGGGCTGTGGAGGAGAACCCTGAGCCTCAGGGGCTGGATCCAGGGTTCCCCATCCCTGGCATAGACCTATTATAGCACTTTTGCTGATAAGATGATGAAGTTAACCATAAACCTATTTTGATCTTTATTTAGCAGTGCATTCTCTGATATTATGCCTCTTTATAATCAAATTACTTTTTTATTTGAATATATTAAGTCAGGTTATGATTTTTAAGGGTGAGGAACTGCTGGAACAGACTACCTAAAGAAGTGGTGGATTCCCCATCTCTCGGGGCATGTCTACACAGTAGCATTATTTTGAAATAACTAGTGTTATTTCGAAATAACAGTCCATGTCTACACAGCAGACCATTATTTCAAAATAATGTCAAAATTCTGTCAAGCTGGAGGACTTCTTACTCCAACTCCTGTAACCCTCATTGTACGAGGAGTAAGCAAAGTCGGAGGAAGAGAGCTCTATTTCGGGAAAAAAGGGCCGTGTAGACGCTCCCAGTTTTGAAACAAGCTACGCAATTGACATAGCTCAATTTGCATAGCTTATTTCGAGTTAAGCCCTGCTGTGTAGATGCACCCTTGATGTCTTCAGAGAAAGAATGGATGCCCATCTTGAAGCTATGATTTAGTCAAACACAAGTTACAGGTCTTAAGAAGGGTAAGTGGATGAAATTCCCTCTCCTGTGTGGCACGGCAAGTCACACTGATTGATCTACTGGTCCTGGGCTTTGAAACTGATTACTTATTAAAAGGTTTGTAACTAAAGATGAGCCCTGCCTACAAACACCCACAAACTTTGGATTTGATGGGGACTCTAGATCTGAAGCCAAGTTTGCACTCAAACTGCACCCTCTACTTCTCTTAAAGGTCTGAATAAAAGTTTACACCCAAACACCTTCAAAACTCAGATTCCATGTTTCCACCTGTTCTACTTGGGCAACGCAAATCTTGCTGGGTCCTACCTGCAGTGGATAAAGTTTGGCACAGGGCAGTACTGGCTGAGATCTGCTGGGTCTAATTCGCTGCTGATCTCCACATTATCTCCTGCCTCTCTGCGCACACAAGCCTTGTTCTCATCTTCGAAAACCTGCCATTGCAGGGAGGCAAAAAGCAGAAGCAGGAAGTCATCTGGAAGAAGAGAAGCCACAGCAAAAACAGCTTCTTAGCAGCTTCAGACAAACCTATTCTGATGTTGTGTGATAGGATGGTGACAATGATTAGTAGTTAGCTGTAGGAATTTCAGGCAGTAGAATGCTGCATTAGATGATTGATACTTACACAGGAGGAAACTGGCATCAGGTCTCTTGGCAAAATCAGGCAGATAGAGCCACTTAATCAGATTGGAATGGAGTGTCCAGCGAGAGGTTCTCCATGGATAATCTGTTGGCAAAGGGGTTCTTTTTGTCACACAAAACAATTTAAAATAATTTCTGAGCTTACAGCCTAGAATTGTTTATGTTCAGGCGTGTCGGCATTTCTCAAGGAAAATGGCACATGCTTGGAGAACAGCATGGCCTCTGGATAGTACAGATTTGGCACTACCACTTAAGGATGTTAAAATGTGGTTAATTGACTAGTTGAGTAGTCGATGGAATTTCCATCAACTAGTCGACAGGCACTTCCGCATTCCTCCTTTGAAATGTACAAGAGCCCCTGCTGGGGGGGCTCCCCAGCAGGGGCTCTTGTACACTTCAAAGGAGGAATGATGAACTCCACGTACAGTTTGGGGCCAGCGGGAAGTCCTGCTGACTCTGGGCTGCAGGCAGGTACCTGCTTTGAAATGTATGAGAGTCCGCAGCGGGGGCTCTTGTGCATTTCAAAGCCTTGGAGGCTGGGGTCAGTGAAGGACTCACAGACCCCCGCTGACACCAAGCTCCATGCTATGGGCTCCCCTGCCCCTTTGAATTGCGCAGAGACAGCAGTTGCAAAGGGGCAGCCACCACACAGCTAATTAGCTATGTGGTGGCTGCCCCCTTGGGAGTCCCCCGCTGACCCCGGGTTCCACGCAGCACTTCCCCCCTGGACTCAGGATCAGCTGAGGATTCCCCAGCTGATCTCGGGTCCTGGGGAACTGCCGTGGGGAGCCCGGGGTCAGCTGAGGAGTCCCCAGCTGAGCCTGGGCTCAATGACAGCTGCCCCTTTGAACCATGCGGAGGCAGATGCAGCCTTGGGGTTTCAAAGTGGCAGCGCCGCTGTGCATCACTGCCACTTTGAAGTACTCCTCCCGCCCCCTCCTTTGCTGCCTCTATTTCATAGAGGCAGCAAGGCACAGGGAATTGACTAGTCGACTAGTTGACATTACTATCCCATAAGCAAATGCTTATCGGACAGTCAACTAGTCGACTAGTCTTTAACATCCTTACTACCGCTATCACTACCATTCTCATCAATGCTGAAACCAAAAGTATTGATACTATGAGTTCTCCAGTGAGAGTTGGATCAAGCCTTTGAAGAATTCAACAGGGGTCTGTGTGAGGGCATCCTTCCCACTCTGACATGTAAAGAGTTAAAAGAAGGCTAGAGAGGAAGTATGGGACGCTGTCAGTGGGAGCGAGGCTGCAAGGAACAGCCAATCAGGACACAGCAGGCTCACATAAAAAGAGCTGCAGAATAAAGGTCCATTGATGCCGAGAACCCAACAGATATGTCCCTAGCAGGCTGAAAGAGTTGCCAGGTGGGGACTGAGGGAGGAAGAGCAGCCTCCTAGCTAGCTGTAGGGACTGAACAGTTGAGTGCCCGGCAGTAAGGGCAAAGAAGGAGCTGCGGCCATGGAGAATTGGTCCAGCAGCAAAGAGACGAACTAACGACACAGAAGGAGGCTGCTATACACTGGGTCCCTCAGCTGGGATCGAGAGTAGTGGGTGTGCCCGGGACACACACACCTCTCATCACCACTACGAAAAGGGCATGGTTATTGGACTGAGACACTGAGTCCCAGAAGGGGGAACGTGGATAGTGACGTGCCCAAAGAGCCGAGCCGTGAAGAGAACACAGCAGGTGAGGGAAGGGCTGTAGGTGGAAGCTGGGATGGAGAGATGATGTGCAAGCTCAGGATGTTAAATTGCACTTATCTGGCTTATTGTGTAGTCAATACAATTTGTACCAACTACACGATTAGTCGATAAGGGGCTGCCCAGCAGAGCCGCAGTGAGGGTAGGTCCCAGAGCCAGCTGGAGCCGGGACTGAGCAGTCTTGGCTCACATCGGCTCCAAGAGCCACTCGTGCTACGGCTCTGCGGCTTAAATGTAGTAAGAGCCGCTTGGTGGCCGGAGCCCTGTCTGTGGCAGGGGCTCCCCACTGGGGACCCCAGTGGAGAGGAGCTGCTGCCAGAGCAGCCTCCCCTAATCCATCCCTGCTGCCTGTGATAGAAGCGCTGGGAGGGGGGGAAGGCTGCACTGCGGAAACGGTGCTGGCAGAAACCGGCTTTTAAGCCGGCTGCTCCCAGCACTGGCTCCTGCCCCCCCCCACACACACACCTTTCTGTCTCTCATACACAGGCAGCAAGGGGGGGAAGCAAGTAGTCGAGTAGACGACTACTCGCTAACATCCCTAATGTGAGCCATGGACAGGATGCTTCAGCCTCAAGCTAATCTCCAGAGTGACCAGAGGAGGCATCAGCATGGCAGTGAGTATTACACCCCAGGGGAGAATCAACTGATTTTAATGGGAGCTGGACCAGGCCCTGAAATCTTTGTAGTGTATTAATAATCATCCTGATACTGATACTATGTTTGGGTAAGTTTTGGGGACACACAACCTATGTGATGATGCTTCAGCTTACTCAGGTTTAATAAGTCTAGTGCCTGGATGCTTGCGTTTGAGTCTGAAAAGAAAGGTGAGATGGATCAAAAGTGAGCTAACAGAATGGATGGGTCTCCCCTTCAAGTGGGCAGCAGCCTCCAGGGATTATTGATTTCCTGTTGTTGGTTTTTTTTTGGGGGGGGGGGGGCAGATAATAAACAAGCCCAACAAAAGAACTTTAAAGAACTGAGGTATGAAGTGTTTTCATTCCCTATTTGGTAAAACCATCCCCCCTCTCCCCCCATTAGCTTGTACACCATCACCAGGAATTTTCCCCAGTTGGTGTCCCTATGTGTCCCCTTCTCCTTGCAGAGCTGGATGGGATGTGGTCCAGCAGCCCTCACAAGTCATGTTTTGTCTAGTCCTTGTTCAGGTTATCAGTATGGGTATGTCTACACTACCCCCCTAGTTCGAACTAGGGGGTGGTAATGTAGTCATATGGAGTTGCAAATGAAGCCCGGAATTTGAATTTCCCGGGCTTCATTTGCATGAAGCCGGCCGGCCCCATTTTTAAATGCCAGCTAGTTCGGACTCCGTGCCGCGCAGCTACATGCGGCATGGACTAGCTAGTTCGGATTAGGCTTCCTATCTGAACTAGCTGTACGCCTCGTGAAACGAACTAGCCGGCATTTAAAAATGGCGCCGCATGCAAATGAAGCCCGGAAAATTCAAATCCCGGGCTTCATTTGCAACTCCGTATGACTACATTACCCCCCCTAGGTCGAACTAGGGGGGTAGTGTAGACATACCCTTATTGCTGGAGGCTCTTCTATGTGTTCACTTACACCCTACTCTCACATTGCACTGTGCTGCATTTACCTTTGCATAAAGCAGGAGGGAGGCCAATGCACAGCAAATACTGAAAGGTCATAATACTGGCAAGAAAACAGCAGTATCTTGGCCAGACCTCAGCCACTGTTTTCCTTCGGTGGCGGTGCAGCAGGTAGATCAGCCAGCAGCCATGGAGAAGGGCGTAGAAGTCCATACGCTGCTTAATGACATTCACGGCCGCGATGAGACACATCTGAAAGAATGGAAATGGAATGAGTCAGGCGGCGGCTTCGGCAGTTAACTTCTACAGTCACTCAGAAAGCCCTCTTGACTGTTTCGTTTTTCAAAGGTCACCACTGCACGGTGTGGAAAAGTCGGACTGGTATCAGCTAAGATGTGAATATAAACCTATCATTTTTCCATGTGGGCACTCTTACTCTGGGATAACAGGTGCTTTTTTTTGTTCAGTTTACCTCACAGTGCTTGAGATGGAGTTTAACCTAATCTGAATAAAAAATACTCATGCCAGAACAAGAGTGTCCACATGAGAGTTATACCTTAGGGTTTAACTGTATTGGTAAAACTTTCCCGTGTAGGCAAGGCCAAAGTCAAAGTTGACAGATAAAACAAAGGAATGTTGATCACTAGGGAATAAGATACAAAGAGGCAAATTCTGCCTTTTCTTCCACAAGAGTAACTTCCCCTAAAGCAATGTCATGAAGGGAAATATTGGGAGAAGCTCATGTAGTGAAGAGAATGACTCTGACTACAGATTTTCAAAAGGCTGGGGAATGGGATGTACCCAAAAAACAAGGCATTCACCTCATGATACAGTGAAAACCATCACCAGAAGACCAAAAAAAGGGGGGGGGGACTGTTGACATGTACAATTGTTTGTAGCATAAGTAAAAGTTTTCTGCTGAACTTCCCCCTCCTTATCCATTGGGAGAGGCAGTACTGCACTCCATCAGGGCACAGGAGCCAGCAGCTGTCACCTCGAAAGGGAGCATGGCAAGCCCAAGAAGACCAAGCTAGAGTAGTTTCAGGCAGCCTGGATTTTAAAGCTGCCCACTCCAGAATGAATCCCTGATACTGTAATCTGCTGGCTGGTCTGGTGAGCTGGGCAGGGGATGCTTCATACTGCAGCCATCTCCAATCAGGGAGTTGAATCAATCCTTAAGAGCTCTGCCTCTGTGCAAATTTGATCTCACTGACAATTGCTGCCCATATCTGCATAGGAAAACGTTGTATAAGGGGAGTCAATGGAGTTGTGCTTGTTTATACCAGAAAGGAATTTAAATTCTCTGCTTATGTGTTCTCCTATGGGCTTCTTATGGCCTTACTGAGCTGTTGCTGGGACCAAGTCCCAAGAGGATTGTTCTCCACTGAGGTTTGCTCACCTCTAAGCCAAACTTGTAGAAACTGTAGTTCACAAAGTACTTGATGCAGCTGAGTAACCCATCATCCAGGTGCTCTCGGGTGATGGTATCAAAAATGGTCCCTGTAACTGGTGGCGTCAGCTGGTTTTGAGTACGGTAGAAGAGCTGGTGGTGATGCACAGTCACTTCTATCACCATTAAGGCCAAGATGGTGAGATGGTTCTGCAAGGACAGAATGAAATGTCACCAGATGTTATTGGCATCCCAAATGCAGTCTCTGAGCGACCTGCACTGAGAAAGACGAACAGCAAGACAAATGAAGCTTACCACAACTAGACTCTGACACTGGATGCCAGGGGCTTTACTTTTGCTACGATCTATAAAGTACAAGGTACCTTTACAGCACTATAAAAATGTCTCGTGGGAATAATGAGTAGCATGGAAAATTAACAAAAAATTCTGCTTTTCTCTCCTGGAACATTACAACATGGTGACTGGGGAAGAGTCTCCCTATAGACTTCTCTCCCGGGAGTGCAGCGGAATGGACTTATTGACCCCTTGAAGTCTCTCCCAGTTCTAGGACTCTATGATTACTGGAATAGTTTACTGGATTCGGGCAATTGGCAATTTTAAGGGATAAGATGTTCCTTGAGACAAACAATAATAACTTGGGAAGGTGTGGAGAATGTTTACTGGTGTTGTCAGTTGCTGAAGCAGAATGAGAAGAAAACTAAGTACAGAATAGCTGAGAAAACCTAATTTTCTTGGGTAGATCTCTCTCTTCCCTTTACCTTGTCACTTTGAGTATGTATGTCTACACTGCACGCTTATTTCGAAATAAGCTATTCCAGAATAGCTTATTTCAAAATAGCACATCTACATTGCAGGGAAGCCTCAAAATTAGTCCGAGGTAGGCTTCACTAATGTAGATGTGCTATCTTGATTTAGAGCCCTAGGAAACACTGGGAAAGTATAACTTAGAATGGCTCTGGTGAGGGGCTATTTCAAAATAGCAGCAGTGGAGCATCTACACACGCCTTATTTCAAAATAGCTATTTCAGAATAGGCGTTATTCCTCGTAGAATGAGGTTTACAGATTTTGGATCAAGCCATAGAATGACTTTACAGATTTTGAAATTGCTGTGTAGACGCTTGCATTGTTATTTTGAAATAATGGTGCCGTGTAGATGCACCCTTTCTATATTACATCTTCTCAATAAACTCTAAACAGGATTTATTTTAAAAAAATTCAAATCCCCATGTTGAGCCCACTTCCTATTTCAAACTTCTCTTTCTGCTTGCGCATATCAAAGTCTGACACATACACAGAGAGTTTCTCCGGAGTGAAGCTGCTAACTACCCCAGTTACTCCATTTAGTAGTAGTAGTCAGAAGACAACACCATAGGAGTCCTACCTTCAGGCAGGGTAAAACATTGTCATGGCACTTCTGTAACCCTCCACACCAATCAGCAGGATCAACGGGAGCAACATACAACACTGATTTCTTCAACAGCTCGTCCAGGCTGTTGTCATGATAGTAGGTTCTGTTCTGGTACAGCCCCTATGGAAAGAAATATATTTGTCTGAAATACACACTCAGAAACTAATTCCTTGAATACTAGAGGGAAGCACTGGGCCCTATTAAAGTTTTTTTTTTTATTTCTACCAATATATGTCCAGAATGCAATACACACATACATGGAAATGTGGCCTTCTAATTTAGCTTTTGTGGCAAGCACTGATAATTTTCTAAGCCAGAAATTTCACCTAAGAGTCCTTGACTTATTTCTTGCTTGGCATCATTCCTGTAGGCATAGCTACTATATACAAAGTTTTTTAATTTTATAAGCCTACTGACATTCATTTCTTTGTGCCCAAGGAGTAACATGAGAGATAAGTGACTGAGCAAAGGAAATTAAGTTCCCTAGTGCACGTTGAATTACTGCAGAAAAAAGTTTTATTTATTGTGCAGGTTCCACATGCACTGTCTGGGCAAAGCATTTTGGAGTACAGTAGATTTACATCCAGCTTGACACGCTTGAAGTATTCATGTAGACAGGGCTGGCAAAAGACTTTGCAGAGCCCTCGGCAGTGTAGGGAGGGAAAGGGGGGGCTCAGTTCCAGACCTCTGGAAGGGGCGGGGCTAGAGGTAAATGCCACAACAGTAGTGGCAGCCCAGAGCACCGGCCCTTTTAAAATGCCAGACCCTGGGGCAACTGGGCCCTTCACCCACTCACCTCCATTGGCAGCCCTACATGTAGACATTCCCTCAGTCAGGACTCATGAATCTTGGGTCATGCTGTGTTAGCTGCTTTTTGTCTTTTGCCAATTAGCTTCTTTTTGCCTCAATTTTCCAACAATTTGAAGCTCAAGTACAAATCAAGTAGCTATTCATCCTGTTGTAATATGTGAGGCCCTAATTCTTTTACCAGCACAAAAAATTAACCACAAATTTTGCCGACATGAAAATTATCGTTTCAAAGTGTTCCACTTCCTTTCACATTGCACTGGTGTGTATCAACTGCAACCTACAAAAGCGCCTCAGGAAAGCTTTGGCTGAGAGAATTTCATTCCCAGGACTATGTTAAATCTTGTCTCGATGAGGCATAAAAGGTGCATATTATTCAAAAATATTCTTGAACTTGAAGAGGAACACTATTTGCTGGCTCTTCATAGATACTTGCTTAGTGTGATACACAAAATATCCCAATCCCCACGTTGGGTTTTAGAGCCTGAACCCCGTCTGAGACAATATCAAAGCACCATCTATGCAACTATCTTTAGAGTGCCAGAGTAGACCTCTCTGGCCTGTGTCTATCCACCCAGGCTGGGAGGTTTTCTTCTGTTCACTCCAGAATGCTGTACTAGATCTATCCCAGGTGTTTACAAAATCAGGACCTCAGTGCTCTAGAATGCTCACCTGCTTACAGTCCGAGGAGTAGTCACGTGGCCTGACAAATTTCAGCTGGTACATCATTTTACAGATAACCATCACACAAGACCACACTGTGCAGATCTTTGATGCATAAGGCCGGAGCTTGGGATAGGGCAGTGCAAACACCCAAAGGACAAAGAAAAGGTAATTCATCAACGATACCTAAAGTAATTGGAAAAAAAAATCGGAGTCATTTCACTGTAACTTATCCCCTTGGCTGGTGTGTATCTGTGTTCAGGAATTCAGCTTGTGGAATTTGCAACAACATAATACAGACTAATAGCTGAACTATTAGATAAAGCAAAACACTATTTGAAGGGGAAAAATATGCCCTGATGGTTTGTGAGGGCAGCTAATGCTGCTGGGCAGAAAGGATGAGCTTTTCTAGTAACTGCGATTTTATTTACATTTCTCTCTTACTAATATTTAAAGTGAGCTTTTACTTTGCAAGGAACTAGGGGCGGGCATGTCTACATTAGGAAATTATTTCTGAATAACTTAGGGTATGTCTACACCACCATCCTAGTTCGAACTAGGGTGGCTAATGTAGGCATTCAAACTTGCAAATGAAGCCCGGGATTTAAATATCCCAGGCTTTATTTGCATGTTCCCGGTTGCCGCCATTTTTAAATGCCCCGTAATTCGAACTCCCTGCCTGCGACTACACGCGGCATGGACTAGGTAGTTCAAATTAAAGCTCCTAATTTGAACTACCATTATTCCTCCTGCAAGGAGGTTTAACTAATGTAATTAGTCTTAATTGGTCCTTAATGTGGACATGCTCCTTCGACTTAGAGCCCCAGGAAGCACTAAGGAGTAATTTATTTGAATGACTATGGGTAGTCGTTATATCAAAGTAGCAGTGGAGAATCCACACTATGGCTATTTCAAAACAACTATTTTGAAACAAATGTTATTCCTCGTGGAGAGCAGGAGTTATTATTTTGAAATAATGGGGTTGGTAGTGTGGACGCTCTGCTTGTTTTGAAATAAGGGGAGTTTTCAAAAGGTATAGTGTAGACCAGGGTTTAGTGACATTTAGGTCACATCAATCCTAAACTTTCCAAAACAATCAGATGGTGTCTCACATCAGGCACAATAGCAGTCACTGTGCTCTTCTGAATTCAAGGACTACACAACTTCACTAAAGGAGCAAGGAAGAAGTGAAGCTCTGGTTTGGCATCTTCCACCATAGCCATTAGCGGAGCTGTTCATCTTCAGATTTGAATTGATGCTGCATCTTCTTGAAGGGGGGGCATGCAGCCAGCAGGCCCCAGGAAATCTGGGAGACAGTGTGCAGGCTGCTAAATTAAAGGTATAGTGAAGCCTTGTAACAGGTTGGCAGACTCTAGGGCTCTACCTATAAACAAACCCTTTCTGAAGGTGCACTGGAATCATAGCAGAGAAGTGTCAGCAGGTGGATTCAGTCAGATCCATCCAAAATATATAAAAGAATTGAGGGCCTTTCAAAAAGCAGAGGAAACTAGGGAGTGGGAGAAGAATGTTGGATAGAAAATTCTAAAAACAGCCGCCTTGCAGAGATTGTTTAGATTGAGGTTTGTGTTGGATTGCTTGAGTTAACAATAAAGCCAAATGCCAGGACGCTGCTCAGTTTGAATGCCATGCAGTATGGAGACCTCATTTGAAGTGGGAACAAACCCCTACTAAGTTTTATACATGTCTGTGTGCTTAGAGGAGTACAGCTACTGGCGGACAATACAAATAACATTCCTGGCCAGGGCTGTTGATTTGGAGATCTGAGTCTCTTGTATCACCAGGAATGGAGTTTGCAGAAAACAATTGATATTTTAATGTTCTTCATCCTATTCACCGACCTCCTGGAGTGTGATCCAGATGACCCAAGTGGAGACGATTTTAAGGATGTGCAGCTCTAGGACTCTCCATGTTAAGACCTGAGTTTTATGAACCATTTCCAAAAGCTGCAGGAGAAGAGAAGCCAACTTGTCGATCACCAGCCTCCATTTATTAGGCTTTTCCACTAAGAAAAGAAAAGTGCTTGGTTAGTGGTTTAAAATAACCTTTGGAGATGACTTTGGACACAGAGAAATAGAGGGGGTTTTCTTATTATTATTACTGCCTTGCCAGATGACTTATTGGCTATATCTTCATCCTTCACATAAGAAGAAGGAAGGAAGAGTACAGAGGCATTAGTATTGTGGTGGGGAACTATGGGATTGAAGAGGTCAACAGTAGCTCACGCAGGCTATGTCTAGACTGCAAGCTTCTTGAGGAAGAAGCTTTTCTGGAAGAGATCTTCTAAAAAAGATTCTTCTGAAAGATAGCATCCACACTGAATGGACGCTATCTCGCATTTAAGCTGTGATTGCTATGGATGGAATGGCCACCAGGGCACCTGTGCTTTTTTCTCTTTCCTCTTCTTTTGAAAGAACTCCCTCTTCCCCATCCACACACACCTTTTTCCGAAAGAGCTCTTTCGGAAAAAGGCTTATTCCTCATAGAAAGAGGTTTACTAGTGTCGCAAAAACCCCTCTGTTCTTTCGATTTTTTTTCGAAAGAACGCGATTGCAGTGTGGACGTAGGTGAAGTTTTTTCTGAAAAACTGGTGTTTTTCCAAAAAAAACTCTGCAGTGTAGACATACCCACATTGAGAGCTGTTCCTTCCTCTGGCTTTGGTGACTCTTTTGTGTTCAGCTTTAAGAAAACAGCTGTGAATTCCTTGATCTCATAGTTCCTGCTAGAGCAAAGTCAGGTTGGGACTAAAGAACAACACAGAATTCTAGACGTGGAAAAACTAAATATGATATATATCACTCTGTGGAAGATCATCACTGCTGTGATCAATCTTCCAGAGTTTGATTTAATGAGTCTAGTTAAGACTTACTAAATCAAATTCAGAGGGTGTCCCTGCTGTCATCTGATGCTCCTCGACAGGGCTGGCAAAAGACTTTGCAGAGCCCTCGGCAGTGTAGGGAGGGAAAGGGGGGGCTCAGTTCCAGACCTCTGGAAGGGGCGGGGCTAGAGGTAAATGCCACAACAGTAGTGGCAGCCCAGAGCACCGGCCCTTTTAAAATGCCAGACCCTGGGGCAACTGGGCCCTTCACCCACTCACCTCCATTGGCAGCCCTACATGTAGACATTCCCTCAGTCAGGACTCATGAATCTTGGGTCATGCTGTGTTAGCTGCTTTTTGTCTTTTGCCAATTAGCTTCTTTTTGCCTCAATTTTCCAACAATTTGAAGCTCAAGTACAAATCAAGTAGCTATTCATCCTGTTGTAATATGTGAGGCCCTAATTCTTTTACCAGCACAAAAAATTAACCACAAATTTTGCCGACATGAAAATTATCGTTTCAAAGTGTTCCACTTCCTTTCACATTGCACTGGTGTGTATCAACTGCAACCTACAAAAGCGCCTCAGGAAAGCTTTGGCTGAGAGAATTTCATTCCCAGGACTATGTTAAATCTTGTCTCGATGAGGCATAAAAGGTGCATATTATTCAAAAATATTCTTGAACTTGAAGAGGAACACTATTTGCTGGCTCTTCATAGATACTTGCTTAGTGTGATACACAAAATATCCCAATCCCCACGTTGGGTTTTAGAGCCTGAACCCCGTCTGAGACAATATCAAAGCACCATCTATGCAACTATCTTTAGAGTGCCAGAGTAGACCTCTCTGGCCTGTGTCTATCCACCCAGGCTGGGAGGTTTTCTTCTGTTCACTCCAGAATGCTGTACTAGATCTATCCCAGGTGTTTACAAAATCAGGACCTCAGTGCTCTAGAATGCTCACCTGCTTACAGTCCGAGGAGTAGTCACGTGGCCTGACAAATTTCAGCTGGTACATCATTTTACAGATAACCATCACACAAGACCACACTGTGCAGATCTTTGATGCATAAGGCCGGAGCTTGGGATAGGGCAGTGCAAACACCCAAAGGACAAAGAAAAGGTAATTCATCAACGATACCTAAAGTAATTGGAAAAAAAAATCGGAGTCATTTCACTGTAACTTATCCCCTTGGCTGGTGTGTATCTGTGTTCAGGAATTCAGCTTGTGGAATTTGCAACAACATAATACAGACTAATAGCTGAACTATTAGATAAAGCAAAACACTATTTGAAGGGGAAAAATATGCCCTGATGGTTTGTGAGGGCAGCTAATGCTGCTGGGCAGAAAGGATGAGCTTTTCTAGTAACTGCGATTTTATTTACATTTCTCTCTTACTAATATTTAAAGTGAGCTTTTACTTTGCAAGGAACTAGGGGCGGGCATGTCTACATTAGGAAATTATTTCTGAATAACTTAGGGTATGTCTACACCACCATCCTAGTTCGAACTAGGGTGGCTAATGTAGGCATTCAAACTTGCAAATGAAGCCCGGGATTTAAATATCCCAGGCTTTATTTGCATGTTCCCGGTTGCCGCCATTTTTAAATGCCCCGTAATTCGAACTCCCTGCCTGCGACTACACGCGGCATGGACTAGGTAGTTCAAATTAAAGCTCCTAATTTGAACTACCATTATTCCTCCTGCAAGGAGGTTTAACTAATGTAATTAGTCTTAATTGGTCCTTAATGTGGACATGCTCCTTCGACTTAGAGCCCCAGGAAGCACTAAGGAGTAATTTATTTGAATGACTATGGGTAGTCGTTATATCAAAGTAGCAGTGGAGAATCCACACTATGGCTATTTCAAAACAACTATTTTGAAACAAATGTTATTCCTCGTGGAGAGCAGGAGTTATTATTTTGAAATAATGGGGTTGGTAGTGTGGACGCTCTGCTTGTTTTGAAATAAGGGGAGTTTTCAAAAGGTATAGTGTAGACCAGGGTTTAGTGACATTTAGGTCACATCAATCCTAAACTTTCCAAAACAATCAGATGGTGTCTCACATCAGGCACAATAGCAGTCACTGTGCTCTTCTGAATTCAAGGACTACACAACTTCACTAAAGGAGCAAGGAAGAAGTGAAGCTCTGGTTTGGCATCTTCCACCATAGCCATTAGCGGAGCTGTTCATCTTCAGATTTGAATTGATGCTGCATCTTCTTGAAGGGGGGGCATGCAGCCAGCAGGCCCCAGGAAATCTGGGAGACAGTGTGCAGGCTGCTAAATTAAAGGTATAGTGAAGCCTTGTAACAGGTTGGCAGACTCTAGGGCTCTACCTATAAACAAACCCTTTCTGAAGGTGCACTGGAATCATAGCAGAGAAGTGTCAGCAGGTGGATTCAGTCAGATCCATCCAAAATATATAAAAGAATTGAGGGCCTTTCAAAAAGCAGAGGAAACTAGGGAGTGGGAGAAGAATGTTGGATAGAAAATTCTAAAAACAGCCGCCTTGCAGAGATTGTTTAGATTGAGGTTTGTGTTGGATTGCTTGAGTTAACAATAAAGCCAAATGCCAGGACGCTGCTCAGTTTGAATGCCATGCAGTATGGAGACCTCATTTGAAGTGGGAACAAACCCCTACTAAGTTTTATACATGTCTGTGTGCTTAGAGGAGTACAGCTACTGGCGGACAATACAAATAACATTCCTGGCCAGGGCTGTTGATTTGGAGATCTGAGTCTCTTGTATCACCAGGAATGGAGTTTGCAGAAAACAATTGATATTTTAATGTTCTTCATCCTATTCACCGACCTCCTGGAGTGTGATCCAGATGACCCAAGTGGAGACGATTTTAAGGATGTGCAGCTCTAGGACTCTCCATGTTAAGACCTGAGTTTTATGAACCATTTCCAAAAGCTGCAGGAGAAGAGAAGCCAACTTGTCGATCACCAGCCTCCATTTATTAGGCTTTTCCACTAAGAAAAGAAAAGTGCTTGGTTAGTGGTTTAAAATAACCTTTGGAGATGACTTTGGACACAGAGAAATAGAGGGGGTTTTCTTATTATTATTACTGCCTTGCCAGATGACTTATTGGCTATATCTTCATCCTTCACATAAGAAGAAGGAAGGAAGAGTACAGAGGCATTAGTATTGTGGTGGGGAACTATGGGATTGAAGAGGTCAACAGTAGCTCACGCAGGCTATGTCTAGACTGCAAGCTTCTTGAGGAAGAAGCTTTTCTGGAAGAGATCTTCTAAAAAAGATTCTTCTGAAAGATAGCATCCACACTGAATGGACGCTATCTCGCATTTAAGCTGTGATTGCTATGGATGGAATGGCCACCAGGGCACCTGTGCTTTTTTCTCTTTCCTCTTCTTTTGAAAGAACTCCCTCTTCCCCATCCACACACACCTTTTTCCGAAAGAGCTCTTTCGGAAAAAGGCTTATTCCTCATAGAAAGAGGTTTACTAGTGTCGCAAAAACCCCTCTGTTCTTTCGATTTTTTTTCGAAAGAACGCGATTGCAGTGTGGACGTAGGTGAAGTTTTTTCTGAAAAACTGGTGTTTTTCCAAAAAAAACTCTGCAGTGTAGACATACCCACATTGAGAGCTGTTCCTTCCTCTGGCTTTGGTGACTCTTTTGTGTTCAGCTTTAAGAAAACAGCTGTGAATTCCTTGATCTCATAGTTCCTGCTAGAGCAAAGTCAGGTTGGGACTAAAGAACAACACAGAATTCTAGACGTGGAAAAACTAAATATGATATATATCACTCTGTGGAAGATCATCACTGCTGTGATCAATCTTCCAGAGTTTGATTTAATGAGTCTAGTTAAGACTTACTAAATCAAATTCAGAGGGTGTCCCTGCTGTCATCTGATGCTCCTCCTCTTGCCAGGAGTAAGGGAAGCCAATGGGAGCATCTGCTTCCATTAGCCTTCCACTGTGGGGATGCCACCAAGTTCAGCTTAAGGTAAGCAAACTCCAGCTACATATTTTACGTAGCTGGAGTTGTGTAACTTAAGCCGAACTGCTGGGTCGAGTGTAGAGTTGGCCAAATTGTTCTTGCTCACTACAGCCTTTGTGTTTTAGGGAGGACAAGGTCTGCAAGTATGGTCGTTCCTTGGACAGGAGTCCCACTGCTATACACCTAAGACCTGAAATCAACCCCTAGAACAAAAATACTCAAGCACTTGCTGATAAACTATGTCGTAAAGCTGCAAGGAGCTACATGTCATCACCTGATTTCTCCTGCTGAGCCTGCCCCATGGTTTCATCCACCATTGTAATCTCTGTTGCGTCCAAGGTGGTTTGATTTTCACCATGCTGTTCATTGGTTGCCAGCCTGTTGAGAACACTAGAAAGTTGCTAATGCCAGACAACTTACATATTGATCCCTTTACCCTTCAGTGATAAAGAGAATTAGACATATTCTGAGATTCCAATATTATGCAATTTGTGATCCCTTTGTAATTGCCTACAACTAAACCCAAAGGGAACAGAATACAAAGTGGAAATAAATACCTGTGATTTATGTATAATTTACGTGTGGGATTTTCAAATGAGTTCATGGTTTGCCTAGCTCTGGTCCAATTAAAGTCAATGGTAGAATTCCCACTAACTTTAATAGGAGCAGAATTGGATCAAAGCCAAGGGAGTTTGAACCCCATCTCCCCTCATATTTATAAATAATACTGACATGTTGTAAGAATGGGGACTAAACTAAAGCAAACAAATTTCATGTTAAACCATTTAAAAAAAATCTGCCTCCAATGTTTTCTTAGACATGCTATGACAGTGCTGCATATCTAGAACCAGTGTTCCCAGTGTCAAATTACTAAGTACAAAATATACCAGTTAATTGTACTATAGATTCCGGGAGCAAATCCATTTACTTCCAATCTGAGTTACACCTACGTGTCATCCAGGCAGCAATAGCAGAATAAACCCAGTGAAGAATACAGCAAAATTGATTCCTCTATGTTATTTCATTCTTACCTGTTTTGTACTTTCCAAATGCTTTCTTTAAGCCTGAAAATTAAGAGCAGGAAAAATATAACATCAAATATTTATCTAATTTTCTGCAGCCTTTAATATGAATCCCTTAAACACTTATGAAGCCTTTCATCCAACATGTAATTTTGTAATGGCAAAATGTGTAGGTACATCAGAAACAGGAAGCCTGCTAAACAACCAAAGGAGCCATTGGACAATTGAGAACACTCAAGCCATCATGGAGAAACTAAATGAATTCTTTGCACTGGTCTTCCCAGCTGAGGATGTGAGGGAGATTCCCAAATCTGAGTCATTCTATTTAAGTGACAAATTTGAAGAATTGTCCCAGACTTAGGTGTCATTAGAGGGCGTTTTGGAACAAATTAGGAAATTAAACAGTAATAAATCACCAGGACTAGATGGTATTCACCCAAGAGTTCAGAAGGAAATTATATGTGAAATTGCAGAATTACTGACTTATAGTCTGTAAACTATCATTTAATTCAGCTTCTGTAGCAAATGACAGGGTCCTTCACCAAAGTAAGTTGCCATGTGATGAGACAGAAGGTCCTCTTATGGATTGGTAACTGGTTAAAAGATAAAAAATAAAGGGTGGGTATAAATGGTCAGCTTTCAGAACGGAGAGAGGTAAATGGTGGTGTCACCTAATGGTCTGGTCTGGGACCAGTCGTATTCAACATATTCATAGATGATCTGGAAAAATGGATAAGAAGCGAGGTGGCAACGTTTGCGTATCATACAAGACTACTCAAAACAGTTAAGTCCCAAGCAGAGTGCAAAATAATCTCTCAAAACTAGGTGACTAGAACAAAATAGGAGATGAAATGTAATGTTGTTAAATGCAAAGTAATGCACATTAGACAACATAAACACAACAATACATATAAAATGGTAGGTCTAATTTAGCTGCTACTACTCAAAAAAAGAGATTTTGGAGTCTTTGTGGATATTTCTCTGAATAGCCTGTCATTTTTTGTTTTTGATTGCCACTGCACGTTGGGCGGATAATTTCAGAGAAATATCCACCCAACGTGCAGTGGCAATCAAAAACAAAAAACACAACAAACAGAATGTTAGGAATCATTAAGAAAGGGATAGATAAGAAGACAGAAAATATCATATTGCCTCTATTTAAGTCCATGATATGCCCACATCTTGAAAACTGTATTGTGGTGAGGCAACTGTCTCACATGGGTAGGGAAGAGTTAAAGCAGGCTGGAGGGAGCCTGTGCACAGCCTCAGCTACTCAGGAAAGGGCTTAGAGGAGCCAATCAGGGGTTAGTTTGCTAGGGCAGTCCTGTATATAAAGAGCTGCCCAGCAGAGAGAGGTAGTTAGGCCCTGACCAGGGAAGGTGCAGGACCTGGTTCCCAGAGAAACACCTTTAGGAGAGCAGTGCTGGGCAGTCTCGGGTGGGAGAGGTTAGAGAGGGAGGCTCCAGCCGGATACCTTCCAGGCTGCTGGCCTTGCTGCAAGGGCCAAGAAGGTGCTAAAGGGTCATGTGAAACAGGAGACAGTGAAGAGAGAATGAAGAAGGGCAGGAAAAGGCTTCCTAGGTTGGGACCCAAAGTAGTGGGTGGGCCTGGGGCCCTCCTTCTTCCCTTGCACAACACTTTGCCACCAAGGTGTGGCCAGTACAGGGTGTGGTTTGCCCCTGAGGTAAGGGACAGGTTGACCACAGTGGCAGGTGAAATGGAGAACTGTTGATATTCTCCTGAGCTGTGGGCATGGCCCATATAGACTGGCATGCCCCTGAGCTAGGCTTGGAGGCCACAGTGGCAGAAGAAACACAGGACTGCAAACAAACCCCCAGAAGGGAGGTGAGAGAACATTGGAGTGGGCACTGCCAGAGAGCAGTGTCCTGAAGAGGACTCTGTGGTCAGGGAGTGCCATGGGTCTGGAGTAGGAGTGTGGAGTGAGAATGGAAGAGACACCAGCCAGAAGGCAGTGCCCACTGATGAAAAAATGAATTCCCTGGAGCTATCAGCAGAAGGCATCACAGCGGTGAGTCCTGTTCTGTGACGTGCATGCAGATGGGGTTGCCCCATTTCAAAAAAGATTTCTTGGCATTGGAAAAGGTTCAGAAAAGGGCAACAAAAATTATTAGGGATATGGAATGGCTTCTGTATGAGGAGAGCTTAATAAAGACTAGGACTTTTCTTCTAGGAAAATAAAACACTAAAGTGGGCTTATAAAATCATGACTGGTGTGGAGAAAGTAGATAATAAAGTGCTATTTATTCCTTCTCATAACATAAGAACTAGGGTGGAGACTGATGCAAAGAATTCATTTAGTTTCTCTGCAATGGTTTGAGTGCTCTTGATTGTCCAGTGGGCCCACTGGTATTTTAGCAGGCTTTCTGATTCAGATGAACTCACAGATTTTTCTATTACAAAACTACATCAAATTAAATTAATAGGCAGCAGGTTTAAAATAAATAAAAGGAAGTATTCCTTCACAAAATGCACAGTCAACCTGTGGAACTCCTTGTCAGAGGATGTTGTGAAGACCAAGACTATGACAGGGTTAAAAAAAGAACTAGCTACATTCATGAAGTACCCAGGATGGGCAGGGACAGTGTCCCTAGCCTCTGTTTGCCAGAAGCTTGTAATGAATGATGATTACTTGTTCTGTTCATTCCCTTTGAGACACCTGGCACTGGCCACTGTCAGAAGACAAGATACTGGGCTAGGTGGGCCTTTGGTCTGTCCCAGTATAACTGTTATGATCAGAAGCTTCAGGGGGTAGCTGAGTTAGTCTGTTACAGAAAAAAAAAAACAAATAGTCTGGTAGCAGTTTATAGACTAACAAAACATGTAGATGGTATCATGAGCTTTTGTGGGCACAGTCCACTTCTTCAGATGACCAGAGTTATGAATTTAGGATGTGCAGACCCAAAATTAATAGGAGAGGGGAAAGGGAGGGGGAGGTGGGAAAAGGGAAGGAGGGTGGGAGACAGGGAGCTAGAGGGAATCAGTAAGTATCTGAAGATTGTGTAGTTAAAATGAAGCAGATAAGAATCAAAGTCAATTGATATATTGGACAAACTGGACAGTCTCTGCGAGAGAGAATCAATGGACACAAATCAGATATACATAAAGGAAACATACAGAAATCTATTGGGGAACTCTTCAATCTTCCGAATCACTGTTTAAAAGATCTTCAAGTAGCTGTCTTGTCACAAACCAGTTGTACTAGGCAGATCCATAGAGAAGCATTGGAATTAGAGTTCATCCGCAAATTCAATTCAGATGCTAATGGACTCAATCCTGATGTAAGTTGGTTGGGGACACTACCAACTTAACAGCTGTTGAAGGTGCAAAAAGCTCTTTATGTAGACTCCTAAGTCAGGAAGGATACTATCAATTGACTTTGATTCTTATCTGCTTCATTTTAACTACCCAGTCTTCAGATACCTAAAACAAAAAACAGGACTACGTAGCACTTTAAAGACTAACAAGATGGTTTATTAGATGATGAGCTTTCGTGGGCCAGACCCACTTCCTCAGATCAAATAGTTGATCTGATCTATTTGATCTGAGGAAGTGGGTCTGGCCCACGAAAGCTCATAATCTAATAAACCATCTTGTTAGTCTTTAAAGTGCTACATAGTCCTGTATTTTGTTTCAGCTACACCAGACTAACACGGCTACATTTCTATCACTATTCAGATACCTACTGATTCCCTCTAGCTCCCAGCCACCTTTCCTTTTTTCCCTCTCCCCTCCCCCTCTCCTATCTTACTTATTTTGGGTCTGCCCATCCTAAACTCATAACTCCAGTCATCTGAAGAAGTGGGCTGTGCCCACGAAAGCCCATTAGAGCAAGCAATTAGAGCAAGAGATTGCAACACATTAACCAAACGTTTTGCAACTATGTTGCACCAACTGTAGTGCATCCACCTGAAGTGAGGAAGGCTACTAATTTTCATACAAAATACTGCCCTACAATTGGCCAGAACGTGAACGGGGAGGTTATTGGTGGCCTAATCCCTATTTCTTCTTCCCATTGCCCTCAGTGACATACTTTGCTATGCTTGCTGAGCTCCATTAAGTGTTGCCCTGTGGAAAATCAAAGTATAGTCAAAATAACAGTGTTGGATACAGTTTAAAAAAAAAGTTTGGAAAAAGATAGAGATCAAATGAACTCACATGTCAGCCAGAAGATACACCTGGGTTTCAGTTTTCTTTTTACTAGGGAGAAAATATAGCAAACTCAGCATGTTTAAGTAGGCATGTAGGGTGGTTTAAGTTGGACATCAGGAAAAACTTCCTGCCTGTCAGGGTGGCTAAACACTGGAATAAATTGCCTAGGGGGTTGTGGAATCCCTATCACTGGAAATATTTAAGAGCAGGTTAGACAGACACCTGTCAGGGATGATCTAGAACAGTGTTTGGTCCTGCTGTGAGGGCAGGGAACTAGACTCGATGAATTCTTGAGGTCCTTTCCAGTTCTAGTGTTCTCTTTAGCATGTGGCTCGTAGGATGAGACTGATCCTCCCACGTTATCTTCTGCATTGCCATGAGATTTGGTGCTAGTACCTTCCTTTCCAAAAACCCCTCCAAAAATAAGAGGAGGCCAATATTTCCGGCATTATACAAAGTAATCCAGCTTTGAAAACTGGACTAACTCAGGGAATGTGTTTGTGCTTCTGGGTGCTCAAGCTAACACTTTGGCACCTAACACTTATGTTTTAAGGATTTTTTTTCCATGATTAGGAATCTTCATGGTCATGGAGGCCCATGCTAGCATATCCTAATGCAGGATTAGGGTTTTATGCGCCCAAATTTGAAAATTGGGCCTTTTTCCTATTAAGAACATGTTACTATGTTGCATGCTACATGGCATTGGTTCAGTGTGTACTTTACTGAAGATGAGTTTATGTGCTCAGCATTGCTCCCATTGAAATCGATAAAACTACCAGGAATTTTGGTGGGAACACAATCAAGATATTTATATGTATTATATATATTGACCTATTTCTATAATCTCCCATCAGGAAAAAATACAATATATATTGTCTGAAGTCCCCCAAAACATCAGGAAAATCAAAATGGAATATTTTAGGTAAGGGGCTCATTAGAATTCATTAAAGGAAAGTAACACATTCATGGATTTCCACAAGTAATAAGATTTCCATGAAAATTTCTTGTAACAGTTAAATAATTAAAAGCATTTGCTGCTAATGTTTAGGAAATTAAGGAAAGGATATGCTATTCTGCTCTTGTTGAACTCTTATTTTGAGGTAAATGCTTATACCAAGACATTTCCATACCAAAGCACCCATAAAGTCTCTCAATTTTGCATGTAAAGAGGATTTTTTTAATGCAAAAATGGGATTCTTGGTGCAATATGTGCACATCTCTTTACAGGCACAACCATTGTTTGGCTTTGAAAATTTGGCCTCTTATGTGTAAAAGATCAGTTTTCAAATAAGTTAGGCATAGGAATATATATATGTGACTAGTGTGTATGTGAAATTGCCCCAGGTGAATAAGTGCCGGACAAATTATCACAATTAAGTATTTGTTTTTGTGGGTACCATTTTGTTTGGGCATCTACAATAAAAGCCTGCACCAATAAGACAAGTTGTAAATACAGGCCCAAGTTATCTGCAAAATTGCCTTTGTTCCTCCATGTTCCTTAAAAGGCAATAGAAATTCTTGTAAATATATAAAATGTATGTAAAGCACTTTCAACTCTAATTTTCCAGATGATAACTCTTTGGTAGGGACATGCTCACATGCTGTGTGGTTTACCAGTCTTCAGGTCTGTTCACATACCTGCCAGAATGACATTCAGGCTTGATGGGAATATTACTCAAGTCAGTGATCTTCAGAAAATCCTCACTAAAGTAATGAAGCTGAAGGATGCAGGCCAGGAGAAATGTGGAAGGAAGCAAAATCTTAGCAAACAGGTCTACTGTTTCATACTGTTCAAGACCCAGATCGTTTAACCTGTCAGGTAAAAAGGAAAGAGTCTTTCACAGGTCTTATAAACTAAGGGACGCATTTCTAATAAGGGACACTGAAAAGGGTTACTTTAGAATATAGTGAGGTAGGTAGTCATATGGAGCTAATGTGGTGTTCTTTACTGTAGAGAATAGATGAGTTCAGTTTTAATGAGCATCACGGGGATTCTTCATTGAGGCTTTTTGCATGCAGAGAGACCGTATCGTTCTCTCTAGATCTCAAGATTCAAGATGACTCATGGAGCCTTGTGCTATCAGTCATGGTCTCCCTAAGTTGTGTCCTGGACTCTGAAGACATCGCAAGGGCTACTGTCTACACTTCATCTCCAGAGATTCACCCCTTTATTTTCAGTGTTACCTTAAGTTCACATAAAGAACCCTGTTGTCTTTTTCAAGCACAGAATGTAATTCCCTAAATTTCCTTCCTACTCTCTCTGTCTCTCTAACCTCTGGATTCAGGAATGATCCAAGACCTACTTTTATGGGGGGAATAAACTTCACCGATCCTTTGAAAAGCCACCACTACATGGCTACAATTACTATAAAAACCCTCAAACTGTCTAACTCAACAAAGTACAGAGTCTTTCCAGAAAGGCTGGCTACAATATTTTCAATCGAACATCAGTGACAGTTCCCAAAAGACATGCAAGCAATCCTTGGGTTTGTGTTACAGCAATTCACCTGTTGTAGTTTGTTTGGGTTATATACTACATCCCTGTTGCCTTAGCCACAGCATTGAAAATACAGAAACCACTGAGAGCTTGTGTACATGCCCACAAGGTGAATAGGATAGTGCATCCTCGCTGCACTATTAATCTCATAATAATGCTGTGAAATGATTGGGCTTTATCAAAAGAAATGCTGAGGTATCATAGTTCACACTGACGTCAGGGAAGGCACTCAGCACCTTGTAGGACTGCACTCATACTAGGCCTTTTATCCAAGCCCCTCAGTGTGCCCACAATCTTTAAGTAATAGTCCCGAGCCCAGACTTACTAACCTTCCAGGTACATGCTTAGTAACCTTCACAAGCATTTAGGCCAGGGGTGGGCAATAACTTTTAATAGGGGGCCACTCCAAGATTTGGGTAGGTGGTCAAGGGCCACGCTTCTATGGAAGGCAAGTGGGGTCTGGGACACCAGGTGGGGTGTAGAAGGAAGCTTGGGATAGAGGACTAGGGTGCAGGAGAGGGTGTGGGGTCTAAGAGGGAGTTTGGGTGAAGGAGGGAATTATGATCTGGGATAGGGGCTTGGGGTACAGGGTATGGGTTCAGGAGAAGAGTCTGGTCTGGGGGAGGGATGTAGGAGGGAGAACAGGGTCTGGAAGGGAGTTGTGACTTGGAGGAGGTGGGGAGAGGAAGTACAGAGGGTTTGGGTGGTGACCTGGGGCAGGAGAGGGTGGTAGCCTGGGGTAGGAAGTTACAAAGAGAGAGCTAGTGGGGTGCCAGAGGCATTCTGTGGCTGGGAGGCGCTTAAGTAGGTGGCTCCCAGCCAGCAGTCCTGCAGGAACCTGAGATAGGCCTACATACAGGCAGGGAGCATGACTGCTCCATGTGGCTCTGCTCCAGCACATGGAAGAGGGGAAGGAGGAAGCTTCCTTCACTGCCCCAGCCTTCAGCAAAATTGCTCAGCTCCTACTAGCCGGAAACTGGCCAATGGAAGGTGAGGGATTTTGTTAAGGGGCAGGGACAGTGTGCGAAGTCTCTCCTTCCCTCACCAGTGTCCAGAGCAATTAGCAGCCAGCTGTCTAAAGCGGCTGCAGCTGCTGTGTAGTAAGGATCCTAGTGAAGTGGCCGAACGCTGGATCCAGCGGTGTGGTGGGCTGGATTCAGCCCGCTAGCCACCTCTTGCCCACCCCTAATTTAGG